GGGGGGGGGGGGGGGGGTGTAGCGGTACAGGAACAACGTACACTCTACCTATAGTTGTCAAAAGCCTAGAGGGCCCTCTCGCACCTCTAGTGGCTGTAAATGGTAATGTTTACTCTGGCTCACGTCTGTATAGATGAACATTTAAAGCGTCAGTCAAAAATTGCATCATAAATATAGAAAAAAACATATATAAGTCACTTCGGCATATAAGTTGCAGGACTGGTAAATCTGCGCAAAAAAAAAACAAAACAAGACTTATATGCCGGAAAAGATGGTATATGTATAAAAGCTACAGTGTGAAGCTCTGAATCATTGATAGACAGGCCAGGAGAGGAAAATGAAAATCAAACCTGACTTCATGCCACTGAAAGAAACAGTGGGCTGTTTTTGTTTCAGGACATTAGACTAAAGATTGCTCTTTACACAGTCTGACACCATGCCCCGAGTCTGCCATCCCAGTCAAACACACAGTGTTTACATTGAGACAAGAAAAATTACGGCTTCACAAACACATTAAATAATGAATGTTCTTACCTTAGTATAACCAAAGCATTTTCGAGGTATGCTAGAAAAAATAAACACGACTCAGTAGAATCCTGTTAGGATGGTAACAGAAAAATACATGACTCCAAGGTGAATGTATGTCTTGCGTGTCTGTGGCTGAAATACAAGTGTGCGAATGTGTTTCCTCTGAATGTCTGTGCATGCATGAATGTGCTAGGGGTGTTACTCTGAACAGAAAGGTGAGAAAGACTGCTTAATGTCTCACCTGCCCAGATACTTTCTGTATTAATGATTACTGATCCCTTAACCTACTTGTAGCGAGGGTAAGGAATAAAATACTCGCCCATCCAGCCACTTTGTTTGTAGTCTATGTCAACAGGCATTGCCTCATCAAGGGGGGTTATTCTGATTACTGATATTGTTACCCAATAACATCATAAAAAATACTTTCTGAAATCCTCAGACAAAACAGTCTGTTTTGTTTTAACGTGGATATTCTGAGGTTTGTGTGTGTGTGTAAAGGGGCATTTCAGAGAAACAGTAATTTATGTGCACATTTCACCTCCATCTTTAGCAAGAAGTCTTGACCTTGAGTGGTTTGCACGGTTTGCATTATGGCTTCACAAAGGTCATGCTTTAAGGTGGAGCGATGGTGGTGGAGCTCTAACTGCACTGGGAGGTTTCAGCTGTGCAGATTATGTTCAATTTATATGAGAAATGCCTAAATCTAATGTTTTGCTTTACTCCCTGCATAATTATATGTGCAGCAACATACTTACATATACAAACTGCACAAGCATTCAGTTTAACCGTGAACCATTTTATTCCTCCTTCTCTTTTTCTGCCCATAAACAATTATCTGCAAGTGTTAAATATGAGCCATTTATAGCTTACTATTTTCCATTAACGTCAGTTTGTCTCCAATGTTGTGTATTATAATTTAAGCATCAGCTCTTCCTTGTTTATTTTAAACAAACTGCAAATTAATGTCGCTTTAATAATCCAAATATTTACATCCAACTGCGTTTTTCCTCCACACTCGATCGATTTTTCCTCGATCGACTGCGGATTCTTGTTGCTAGGCAGCTCTGCCTCTCTGCCCGTTCTCCTTGAAGGCGCCTGATGTTTGGCGGACAACTCCAACACTTTTGCAAATACCTTACGTTTTTTTTTTTTACTTCTTTTAAATTTGATATAAAAATCAAAACCGCCAAAGGTGGTTGAGGGAAAACAAGCAAACAAAAAAGGACGGTTTATATATATATATTTTTTTTTTACCGGATGTGTGCCGCCATTTTTTTTTCGCCGCATGGTGACGCCATTGAGCTTCGCTGCTGAGGTCAGGCTCTCCGTTAATACTCCCCCCTCGCCTCTCTCCTCTCATCCATGCCCCTCTGTGCTCTTTCTTCTCTGTCTGCTCTCTCATCTGCTGTACAGTAAACTCTGGCAGAGGCAGCAGCGACCACAAGAAGCGTGCGCCAGCCTCGGCTCTCTCTCCCTCCATGTAAACTGACCAGTTACCATCAATCATGGCCGCCGGAGTCCAGATTTAACTCCCATCCTTCCCTGTCTACTTAAAAAAACAAGTGTATGGAGGATTTGTGTTTTGAAGACTGATTTGGATCTCCTCTCGGAATTACAATACATCTCGCAAGGGAAAACACCATTCATGTCAATACTCCAAAATGCAGCCGCCGCCGAGGAAGGTGAGTGATCTCCGAGACGCTCCGTTATGTTTTAGCCGCCGTGCGTGCGACAGACTCACAGCAGCCTTTTATTTGACACATTTACAACAGCAAGCCCCTAACTCTCCAAGCTTGCAGTCACACCGAGGACAGGAAAAGACCTGCTAGTCCGCATTAGCAGGCGTGTTAGCTTACATTACTGTGCATCTGTGCAGCCGTCAAACGTCAACCCGCGTTAGCTGGAAGGCGCTAGGTGGCTGTCAGGAGACAAAGCACCAGCCTGGGACATTAATTACAACGTGGTGTCTTTGTAGCACGTTCACTTATAGAAACCACTCGATTCAACCTCAACGCAGGGCGCGTTAACACATGGCAGGGAAGTCCAGCAATGTTGTTATTTTGCTCATTGGTGTCATGGTCAAATTCACCCCCTTCCCGTTTAGAAAGAGCTCAACAACAGCTGTCTGTCTTTGAGATGCTCGTCTGAGAAAGAAAGACTGTCCAGGGTTACATCTCCTAAAGACACAGCTGATAGAAGCCAAACATGCAGAGGAGGCATGCTCTCTCTGTGGAAAGACACTGTTAAATCACCTGTGTGTGTGTGAGAACCTGGAGGTTTTTAATGAAATCAGGTTGCTACAGGCAGATAAAGGTCACACACACGCCTCATTAAAAAAAGAGTTTCTTACATTTTTCACACAACAGAATAAGTATGCTGTAAATCAGTTGTTCCCAACCGTGGTCCCTGAGGAACACCATCCTCTGCTCCAACACACCTGATTTGAAAGAGAGGGCTTCCGCCAAACTTAAAGAAGTAATTAAACCACTGAATCAGGTGTGTTGGAGCAGAGAAACAACCAACACATGCAGTAAGGTGTTCCTCAAGGACCAGGGTTTGGAACCACGTAATGAATAAAGTGAGCGTTTTTAGTATGCGTTAACTAAAGTGCAACATGTAAACAAAGCCGTTCAGTACTTTGTCATTTTCTATGAGTAACAGCGAACTTGAGGGCGTTTCAACATCAACAGTACAAGGATGCAGCATGAGCGCTGTCTTTTGTTTTGGCTCGTGTTCAGTTTGGTTTTTCAAACAGCTTAAAGTGAAAGCTTTCAGTTCTGTGATTAAAAAAAACAAAACAAAAGAAGCCAGGTTAAGAAGTAGACATGTGCCGTCTGCTGTTTTTCAGTGTGCGGCGTCTTGAAACAGATGCATCAGAGGCAGTATCCAGCTGTGAACGTCTGCACGGTTGTCTTTTAATTATCACATATCTTCCCCTCCCCGGTGCCATTTATGTGCTGGGTCCCTGCATGCCAGATCATGTCCTTAAAACACGTACTCGCCCACTTCAGCAGGTCCGTTTATAGTAAAAGCTGCAAAGACCACTCCACGTTTTCTCTTTCAGTCAAAGTGAAAACTTCTTACAAAAGCAAAACCAAATTTCTTTTCCTGCCAGTGTAGCTGGCACAGTCGGTGTGCTTGGTCCACAGCAGCGCAGTCAGAGTGTATCAGTGTTTGGCTGTTAGAACTGTAATTTCTCTCTCCCAGCGCGACACATGCAGTCTCTTAAGTGTTGCATGTGGGTCTCAGCCCATCTGCTTACAAACCGAGCTCGTTTAAGTCCCGTATTTTACCTTGATGTGGCTGGATTTAAAGGTCGCTGCTTCTAGTTTCACTCCAGCAGTGAGCTTCTGCACAAATGTTGCTCTGAAACAGTTGGATTGAACTCATTTAGCCCAGAATTTGTTTGTGGCTTTATTT